GGTATCATCATCTCTCAACAGAGAGAGAGAGAGGTGGTATCATCATCTCTCAACAGAGAGAGAGAGAGAGAGAGAGAGAGAGAGAGAGAGAGAGAGAGAGAGAGAGAGAGAGGTGATATCATCTCTCAACAGAGAGAGAGAGAGAGAGAGAGAGAGAGAGAGAGAGAGAGAGAGGTGGTATCATCATCTCTCAACACACACACACAGAGAGAGAGAGAGAGAGAGAGAGAGAGAGATGGTATCATCATCTCTCAACCAATCGATTTCCTCGACGGCCAGAGCAACACCGTCGATCTCGGCCGCCATTGCCGGTAATCTCCAACCCGTAGGATCGGTCCATATCTACCCGAAGCTGCCGCCATGGGCGCCATAGCCAATGAGCTCGAAAGCAATATAGCATCGTCCATACCTCTGTACCATAGAATGGAATAGAGAGAGATCTGTGGTCTCTAAACCGAGATGGCCTGAGCGACACTGTGGATCTCGGCCGCCATGGCTGCGGTAATCTCCGGCCCGTAGGATTGGTCCATACCTATCCGCCGCCACAGCCGCCATAGCCAATGAGCTCGAAAGCGAACTCACCACGTGAACGCTTCTGTGCCATAGAGATCTGTGGTGTCATCACCAAGCCGATTTCTGCGATGCCCAGAGTCACACCGTGCATCTAGGACGCCATGGCCGGGAATCTCCGAACCCATATCTATCTGAAGCTGCCGCCATAGCCGCCATAGCCGACATAGCCAATGAGCTCGAGAGCAAACTCACCACATGAAAGTTTCTGTGCCATAGGGATCTGTGGTGTCATCACCAAGCCGATCTCTGCGATGGCCACAGTCACACCGTGCATCTCGGCCGCCATGGCCGGGAACATCCCATCCGTAGGATCGGTCCATAGACTTCATACCTGTCCGTCGGCGCTATAGCCGACGAGCTCTCCCCAAGAGGAATCGCGGCACCACCGTGCCCGATGCATCAAGGTGGGAGGAGGAGGGGTCCATGAAGGTCGCATTAAGGTAGGTTTGTTTTTTTCTTGGTTTTCTCTCTTGCGGATGGCCATGGCTGGGAATCTCCAACACGTAGAGGAAAGGTCACCCACCTATTCGCCGGTGCCATAGCCAGCGAGCTTGAAGCAGAGACCCGCCACGACTGCCGCTGCCATAGTCAGCGAGCTTGAAGCAGACCCGCCACGACTGCCGCTGACATAGCCATCGAGCTTGAAGCAGACCCGCCACGACTGCCGCTGCCATAGCCATCGAGCTTGAAGCAGACCCGCCACGACTGCAGCTGCCATAACCAGCTCACCAAGTTATGTGGATCTTTAAGCAGATCCCTCCTCTCTCCTCGCCCGCCTATGCAGCCGCCGCCATAGCCAGCGAGCTTGAAGCAGACCCAGCACTACCGCCGCAGCCATTGCCAGCCCCTGCAGGTCCTGAGAGCTCGAACGGCTATAGCTATGGCGGCAAGGAGATCCCCGATCGGTCGGCAGTTCTCGAGCGGCGAGGGACGACGAGACCCTGGACATCAACGGCTGCCATAGCCAGGTACCTCCTCCAACGCGGAGCGCTGCCGCCATAGCCAAGTACCTCCAACACGGAACGCCGCCGCCATAGCCAACAAGCTGGAAGCAGACCCACCACGACCCACGACTGCCGCCGCCACTGCCAGCGACTGAGGTCCCGAGAGCTCGAACGGCTAGCTAGCTATGGTGGCAAGGAGATCGCTGACCGGCGAGAGCCTGGGCATCAACGGCTGTCATAGCCAGCTACCTCCAACGCAGAGCGCCGCCGGCATACACAGCGAGCTCTCGAAGCAGACCCACCACGACTGCCGCCGCTATGGCATAGCCAGCAACTGCAGGTGAGCTCGAACGGCTAGCTATGGCGGCAATGAGATCCCTGATCGGCAATTCCCGAGCTGGAATTATCTACTTTATTAGAGCAAAGAATTACAAATTATTGCACCAAATTACGAGTGGATGAAATCGGTCGAGTGGTTTCGGTAGGAGATGGAATTGCACGTGTTTATGGATTGAACAAGATTCAAGCTGGAGAAACGGTGGAATTTTCCAGTGGTGTTGAAGTGTTTGTGGATTGAACAAGATTCAAGCTGGAGAAATGGTCGAATTTTCCAGTGGTGTCAAATTGTTGTTTATGGATTGTACAAGATTCAAGCTGGAGAAATGGTCGAATTTTCCAGTGGTGTTATTGCAGTGTTTATGGATTGAACAAGATTCAAGCTGGAGAAATGGTCGAATTTTCCAGTGGTGTTGAAGAAGGAATGGCACTGAATCTTGAAATATCCCTGATCGGCAATTCCCGAGCTGCGAGGGCCGCCGATACCCTGGGCATCCACGGCCGCCATGGCCAGCGACCTCCAACGCAGGTCACTCCGCGTTGGAGGTACCTGGCACCTCCAGCGCAGGCCAC